TCACTCAGTTGAATTCGAATTGAACATCAAAAGACTTTTTACTTTGAACTCAAAATGATCGGTGACCATTAAATCATTCGCTGTGAACCGCAAAACATAAACTATCTGTAGATTACACTTATTTGAATGGGGTAGAATAAAAACTACTTCTCGAAAAATTGCTATTTTAAAACGAAACCTAAAAAAAATTTCAATAAAAAGTGAATCAATTTTTTTTTGTCCAATTGAAGTGAATCAAGAAAATTTTGTTCAATAAAAGTGAACCAAAAAAAAAATTTCACTCGGTTTTTTCAGTGTAAAATACACTAAAATGAATTTTTTTTTTGGGTTCACTTTTATTGAACAATTTTTTTTTGGTTCACTTCAATTGGACAAAAAAAAATTGATTCACTTTTCATTGAAAGTTTTTTTTAGGTTTCGTGTTTAAACATTTTTCGAGAAGTAGTTTTTATTCTACCCCATTCATTTGTACTTTTCTCTTTTGCTTTCGAATTTATTGAACCATTGAAAATGGAATCTTTGCCACAATGTTTCAAATGATACTCCGAGAATGAAAAGAAACGTTTTATCATCGATGAAATTGAAAAAAAAGCAATACCTTTCTGGTCGATGAATTAATTCTTATTCGATCACAATTCGAATGAATTTATTGTAGTATTTTATGTGACTTGTGTTCGATCTGAGTGTTAAAAATCTACATGCAAATGCAGTTCTTCATTTGAAATTCGAAAAATGTAGTGAAACACTGCAATAAAATATTGATTGCGTGTATGTGTAGAATATGTCGTATTTCAAAAACTGCAAGTACGAATCTATAATTTTCTTTTTGCCAAGCAATCCAAAAGTGTTTCTTTTTTTCCTCTGCAACCGAATTGCAAGTTGTAATTATTTGGCGAGAGATTATTAAAATCCAAATGCATATACATAACTGTAGTCGCACTCTGTTTGCATTTTAATGCACGAATAAGTAACTACCGGAAGGTCATTAAAGCAGACGAAAGCAGTTATTTAGTTTCGAAAAAAATGAGTACTTTTTTTTTCTTGAGAAGTAAAACCCATTTTTTTTATTTTCATATTTTTTTCTTCGCTTAAATTATAACGAAGAACGACTACTTTGTCGGTGGAGTAAAAGAGAAACGTGATTTACTTTGTGGTGAATAATCATTTTTTTTCGGTGCCATGAAAGCTTAAGCTTATCAACAGCGACGATGTGGGGGAAAATGAGCAGGTGCATTGAGGTTGAGACTCCATTTGTACATGCATATCTTTCGCGGCGACATTACGACCGCCGAAGCCATTGTCGTCGCCGTTGTTGTCGCATGTCGTTGCTCGTGTTTATTTGAGATGAGCAAATCATAAGTGAGATTATTAATGGTGGCATGGAATTAAAAGCGTCTGAATATATTTTTTGATGCGTTTTACAAGTATTAAGCGGATAAAAGTAAACAATGCTAGAGGTGGAACAGGTGCCGATTCGCCGCCAGAAAAACCAATGGACTGGCGAAGCAGCAAGCAAAAAGAATCACCGACGTATATATGCAAACGAAGAAACGATGTGTTCAAAAATTTAACAACACGGTTCAACCGAATAAAAATCTGATTACAATAAAAAAAACTTAATACCGTTACCGTTTTGTTCATTCGGTTTTTTTTGTTGTTTTTTTTCGTTCAATCACCATATCCAATTTGCTATTTGCTCAGTTTTCCTTTCATTATAATCGTAAATCTATCCTCTGTTTACAGCCCGCGATGATACTGTTGCTTCTTTATGCCATTGTGCTTTTTATGCCATACATTCCATTCGCATTTTTTCTCGCATGTTATTTGCTCTTTATAGCACATACTTTATATTATTTTATAGATGCATAAATGTATTTTTATACGCCTTTTTTGTTGTCATTCGTGAGCAAAAAAAATGTATTAAATTGTTTCATTTTTATAGCGGCGTGTTGAAATACGCGTATGCGCACCTTGCTGATTGTACAAATGTTGACAAGCATTTTTATCAAGTACATTTGTTTTCCAAGCGATAACAAACCTTGTATATGCTATTGGTAGGTTGATGCGACGGGCAAAAGGCTAACAATTACTAAGTGCTTGTATATGCTGCATGTAACATACACACACATACCGAGATAATGCTCGTATTTATGACAGCAGTGGTTTTAAATTTACACAATAGTTGAACATTAGTTTTTTTTGTCGAATTCAATTTTTGGATGTTTTCTGTTTATTTTACACGACAGCTCAGATTTAAATCAAAAATCGATTTTGAAGCCAAAATACATACGCTTTTTTCGAATGCAATTTAATTGTGGTGATAAGTAGAGATTCATACCAAGAGATAAAACAATAAAAAAACGTTACCCTTTCAAATTCAAACATTATTTCTGTATATGTATTTATTTTCTAACGATACGGAAACTATTATTTCAATAAAAACATTTCATGTGTGCGTTTTTTGCATGTCGAACGCAAAAAAAATATGTAAAAATTTTTGCATGAGCAAATTATTTCAAAAACAGTAGTTTTCCCGATTCTGAGAATTTCGGACAATTGAACGCTCTAGAATAAAAACAACGTACTGAAACAACAATTCTTTATAAAAAAACGCCGTGTTTCGCTTTGATATAACAACCATCCTGTACGTTGTTTTTATTCTAGAGCGTTCAATTCTTTTAACATAAATGATTTCTTGGACCACGTCAGTCAAGGGTCATATTGTATAAATTAAAATATTTATCGATTTCATCACATTCAAACTGTTTTCAAATTCATTCAGTTTACTCTTATCATCCAGAATAAACTATAATCCAGAATATTATGCAAAAGAAAAATTTATGGGCTTTAACTTTTAAATAAGCCATCAATATCAGATATTTTGCTTGAATATTTGAAAAATATATGGATAACGTTACATATTTGTTAAATTTATTCATATTCTTCGTTTTATATTGGGGATGCCATGTATGTATGCATTTATTTCTTTTCCTTTGTTTTCCGCTTTAAACACCGAAGGAGGCTTGTCGATGTGTTCCCTTTTCTTTGCTTCACAATAAAAACAAACAACAAGTGATGATGGGAGTGCTGCCGAACACACTTGAAAATAATGCATCAAGGGAGAAATGAATCGCGAAACCCGCTTTATCAAATTTCAAACGGTGAACGATTATGTACATCAAGGATGCCATGGTTTTTTGCACTCGGCACAGATAAAAGGGAGAGCCACTCCATTGAAAAGAAAAAGCGGGAGAAAAAGAAACACAAGCACGGAAATCAATTCGGAATTTATATCCACTTGTAAAATCTACTTAAAATCCCATACACCTTCAATAGATACACTACCTACTGTTGCTGTTGCTGCCACAACCGCTAAATTTATGCCCATAAATCCCCACGGCAAGGAGAAATTATTTGCAAATGAATTTTGTGTATCTTCGTTTTTTTTTTTTTTTGTTGTTTTTTTTTCTCGCTAAAATTCTATTTTCAGCATAATAACACATCGAAATTATTATCGCTGAATGTTTGTACAACAGTAGCGCTTTATAATAAATTTTATTGTTATTTATGGAATTTATTTGTGAAAATCGCATCAAATAATTTATAATGGCGATATTTTCCACGCTTTTATTTAATGTGTTTATTAACTTGATGAATGTGCCGCACTGAATATAGCTGATGCTGCGAATGTGTCTTCTTGTCTTCTTATTTGTGCTGCCAGTGTTGGTTCTGTCGACGAACCTCATAAAAATAAATCATTGCACTTTTTTTTCAGCCTACGTTCTCAATTTTAAAACCGTTTTTCTTGCCGGTGTGCGTGTAGGACGATTCTTATCATTTTTGCATACAACTTCAAATTCTAAGCCGATAAGCGTACTTTAAATTTATGCGTGGATGGTGGAATTGGTTGATAAGTGGTTTCCTAATTGTTCATGTGTGAAATGATGGTTTTGCGCATTTTTGTTTTATTTGTATTGGTTTTTATTTCTGAAAATTAAACAACATTGTTGTGAAAAGAGTGAAAATTAAATGGTAAAAAACAATCATCAACATACTTTAAACGTGAGCACATCAAAGATGGGATATCGTTACCTTAGATCTCAAAGAATGCTTCGGCGTTCAATGAAGATACAAAGGAAATTCAGATGATTGCTTCCGAGAATTTGTTTTGAAATATAAGACTTGTTTCAAGTTCAGACTCTTTTTATTTAACTTTGTTCACAATCTTACCAGATTAACATCAACGTTGCGCGATTTCATTTTTGTTGACAGTGTGTGAAGTAATTTCTCGCTGTTTTGATTACCGTTGGTCACTCACATTTCTTTGATTCGCTCAATCACCGTTCTCTGTCTGAGCTTTCTGCAAAAATTATCACATTTTATTGGATCACATGGAGACATAATTATATTTGTTAGCTTAACAGGTCACAGACATTTATTCTTTTATTGACGACCGACCCAAGAACGGAATTTAAAAAAATTCTGTAAACAAATAATAAATGTATAAGACCATCGCAAATGCATGTACTGAAAATAAAAAAAAAGTTCAAAGAAAAACAGAACGATTTCACCGCATAATTTATTAAAAATTCATAAAGTCAAACGTATTCAAATACAGCCGCTGGAATTTCAGCATATCGCACCAAATGTTATTTACCCAAATTTACTTATTGCCACACCGTTATACGCTGCATATGAAAAACAATAATAAAGACTCGTGAATGTGACAGCCCTGTGACTGTTATACAACTGAAACGATTCAGTACAATATCGATGTGAAATTAAAACGAAATAAATTGCAACAACTATATTTCAAATCCATTTCAGGCTTTTTAAATTCAATTTTGTTATATATTTTTTTCTCTTTTCTCAATCAAATTCACTTTCTTTTATTATAAATGTTTTTGTTTACCTCCAAATTTATAACGAAATACTGTTCGTAATCATTGAATATTATTGTTGACGTTTAACAGTTGGTAACACTGCAGTCATCTGACACATCGCTGACACAAACATTAAAGAAGAAAAAAAAAACAAATAACTATGGTTTGTTATGAACAACTCTAGTTAAAAATGTTACAATTTCTATAATAAAAAAGTGCAATATTGTTTTCAAGCAAATAAAAATGCCAGATAAACAAACAAAATTAACTGAACGCGATGACGGTGTTGAGCTGGAAACACAAGTCGTATTACGAATGCCATCGGAACCGGCACAAGTATTGCGTGAAACATTACGTGAAGGTGGACCAAATTTAAAAGATCGTTTGACTGTAAAATTGGAAAATGATTTACGATACGGTGAAGTTCGATTCGACCATTGGCTGATGTACACAAAATTGGTGGATTTACCAACAGTCACCGAATCACTTAAAACGATTGATGGTAAAAATTTCTACAAAACTGCCGATATTTGTCAAATGTTGATGTGTAAATATGAAGAGCCAGATGCACCGACCACCGACGATGAATCACCAACAAAAAATAAGAAAAAAGATTCAAATAAAGTGGACAAAAAGTTTTTATGGCCACACGGTGTGACGCCACCGTGTAAAAATGTTCGAAAACGTCGTTTTCGTAAAATATTGAGAAAAAAATGTGTTGAAGCGCCGGAAATTGAAAAAGAAGTAAAACGATTGTTGCGTGCCGACAATGAAGCCGTTCAGGTTAAATGGGACATTGTACTGGAAGAAGAAGATCCAAGCAAACCAAATATGATGATAGGCAATGATGAAAGTACATCACAATCGGCTGTTGCAATGGACATTGCCGGTACATCGGAATTGGATAAAATTTCGAAACCGGACACAGGAAAAGCAATCGAAGATAGTTCGGATGTTATTCCACGCGATATTGATATTTTCGGTGAAGATTTATCATCGTCCGATGATGAAGATAATAATAATATAAATGTTGATGTTGATGAAACGAGCCGATTGTCCGGTGACGATAGTCGATCGAATTTCTCCAGTTCGATGCCGAGCGGTTCAATGGCCACTGAATTCAATAAGCAAATGTTTAATCGCAGTCCGTCACGATTGCGTCAAACAAGCGATAGCATGGATTTACCACACTCGCCCATATCCGCATCAACCAGTCGCCCATACTATGATAACGATCACATTGAACCCGATGACAATGAATTTGGTATGCCACAAATGTGCCAAGATGAAATACAAGGTAAAATCGCTGATTTACGTCGTCAATTGAACGACTTATGCGATCAACGTATTGCCAAGGAACAAGAGATTTCATCGATTGAAAATGAAACATTGCGCGCACGAATGCAGGATGCACTTGACAATATATTAAGCCAAATTATTGAAAGAGAAATGGAATTGCAAGACTATCAATCAATGCTTTTCTAATAATAATTTTATACAAAAACACACACACACGCAGACACATATTATTACACTATCCTTTCACAAATTCAATAGAAATCAATTTTTATGGTCAAAAATAAAAGAGAAAGAAGGGGAAAAATGATTTTTTCTTTGGAAACAATCTTTTCAATTCAAGAATCTTGTGAATAAAATTGTTTGGATTTTTGTTTGAAAAGTGCCAATGGGTAAGTTTTCTTTTATTTGCTCGGTTTACCACACAGTGCAAATGCAATTATACTGTTGATGGTGTCGAAGTCTCTTGTTCGATGCTGCCAAATTCAATTTATTTCCCATTTGGTTGGTTGAAATTTTCGGTTTGGAAAATCTCTATAGAGCAATTATGTCAATTTTTCTTCGTTTTGTGTGCCAAGTTTGTCGGTCATTTTTTTGTCTCTTCCTCTATCTCTCTCTCTCTCTCTCTCTCTCTCTCTTCCTCTCTCTCTCTTCCTCTCTCTCTCTTCCTTTTTGCAATTATTTTGAATTGTTTACAGTTCGGTTTAAGCCGAAATGTCGATCGTTAGTAAAAACTGAAAAAAAAAAGGTTTTCTCAATGTGTTACATCATACGCAAATGCTTATAGCTGTATTTTTCAAGTATAAAAAACCAAGATAGAGAGAGAGAGAGGAGAATGAGAAAGAGAGTTGTCGACGAAAATTCGGCCACAATAACAAAAGTGATAAAAACGGGTAACCGAGCATCATAGTGTGTATGAGTATGTCGCATTTTAGCATTTTTGTGTAAATATATCGCATATCGTAGCACTTACAGATTCTCTCTCACACACTAGTTTGCTTCATTCGTTTGCCCGCTCGTTCTTTTGCCCGATGGATGATGTGTAATTTATGAGTTGCAATATCAACATGAAAAATGCACCATAAAACGGTTGCTTCATGTATGCGAACGCATGGCATTCGGTGTGTATCACTTCATCGTATGTACTGTACCAACGCCATTCTCCATTGCATGATATAGTTTTCTTGGCACGAAAAGTGTGATGCCTTTTCCTGCAAAGCTGCATTTATATATCATTCTTCGTTTCGTAAAATCGTTCCGTTTGCAACTTTGCCCACATGCAAACACAAAACATTCTCAAGTGCATCAAGCTGGTAGACTAGTTAAACTTTTGCCAGATTACCGCAAGTGAAGTGAGACAACGACAAAAAAAGAGAGAGAGAGACGAGTGTAGAAAGAGAGAAAACACTTGCAAAATACCGAACAAGAATACTTCAGTTGTTGCTATGAAAACGAGGGATATTGCAGAGGCAGTGGTTAATGCTTCATCATGCGATTCCATGGAGCAATTGTTGCAAACCAGAACCATGGCGGAACGAATCGAGTATAAAATTACTCGGTGAACTTGTTGCGTGCCATGGTTTTGTGCATTCTCATCATCGTTCTTGCTCCTTCACTGTGCACACAAAATACGCACCGCAAAAGTTTCTCTTTTTCACAATATTCTAAACAATTTCCATTTTGGTTGTCACCTCTTTCAGATTTAATGCAATGTTTTTACAGTGATTCATAAAGGGACTTATGTTTGCTAGACAATTTCTGCAGGGAAAAAAATGCAAAAAATTATAGCTCATGATATTAAAGATATTATCGTTAATATAAAAAGTCACCACAATGTGATTAGCTAATAAAAAAATATGTAATATATGAACATTAATTTTTTTATTAGCAAAATATTTCCCTTCTGATGAAAAAGTCAAAACGAAGGCGGATACTTAATGACAACATATTTTATTTAAACCAAACTTTGTACGCGAAATATTTGGTCCGTTGCACAAAGAGCAAAAGTTTATCGGAAGAAAATGATTATGAATTGTAGCGACTTCGATGCTTTGTATAACATGTAACCGGGGCAAAATGATGTGCAAATAACTTTTGATTTAAAAACTTAATATAGCAAAACGAAAATGCCGTGAAATAACGAGTCAAAGGGATTTTTTATAAGTAGTACATGAACTAGTTTCAACAAAATGTGCAACATATATTTACCATTTAACCCATTTCATTGATTCGGAACAAACATGGAAAAAAAATTGCATAACTATTTCATTGTTTTTGGTAGAGAAAGAGCTATTATTCGGAAGTAAAACATGCCAAATTTGTAAGTTAAATTATTGCTAAAACACAGGATGCACTCTTAGATAAAATGAAATGTTGATTTTTTCATCTCGTTCATTATTTATGTTGTTGAAGCAGCATGCGTTTGCACTGAAGGTAGCTGTTTAATGTCACAAGGTTGAGTTGAGTTTCTGAGAAGAGGATTTCTATGAAGTATTTTTCGGCTGCTATGCTTTATGGTTTGTATGAAAATAAAAAGAAAACGTACTTTCTTTCATTGGAATTTATTTCTCGTCCCCCTTCTTTTCTCTCGTAAAAGAATTTTCGTTCGCTAAAACTTTTAAATTTTCCAAGAGAATATTCACATATGGAGCGTTTTATTCGTGTTTTTATATAAGTATGCCACAAAGCAAATATGTGATTGAAATTTTACTTAATGGATAAGTCTGCTTCTTTCAAGGGTGTAGCATAGAAAAATGGTCGTTTCACAGCGTATTTTTGTTCGTTAAGCTGACGGGGGTTTATGAGATGCAATGTGCACGCTCCTTTTTTTGATAATAACTTTAAAGCACACATAAATATAAATTTTAATTTTTTACATCGCATCCGCTTAGTTTATCACTGTGCGCTGAAATGTTTTTTATTCGAATGCATATCGAGAGAAAAGGAGAAAGTGGATGAATTTCCTTGGAAATTTGAATGGATTATTTTATTAAATGCACTTAACTTGTTTCGTCTTGCTCGAAAGAAAATCAAAGTATGTCAAAAGTACAATATACAGTGAAAGAGAGAGTGAGATTGGACAAGAAAACGAAATACATTTTATAGATGAGATTGCTGTAGATTTATATTTTTCTACTTATTTACTTTCAAATTGTGAGTTTGCCACCAACTCATTTTGCTAAAGGATATTTTCCATGTTGATCGAAAAATTTTTTATGTGTGTGTGAAAGATTGAATCTGTTTTTTTCTGCTGATGCTATTGCAGTAAAACTTTTACAAAGTGCATCGACAACAACAACAATAAGAGAAACGAAATTCATTCATCTTCTTTTTAAACATTTTTGCACACTTTTCTGCGGCTTAATTCGATTTCTTTACTAACTTGAATCGAAATCCGAATAATTCTTGATGAATTTTTTCAACGAGATTTCAACGAAAGATCTCTTTCGCTTGCAAATCCATTTTAGCACAAAAAGCAGATATGTTTGATTCTTGTTCTTTTCGAAAAAAAAGTTTTCAGGATTATGGAAAATTCCTCGCTTCAAACTATTTTGTTTTTTTTTTTGTTTGTGTCGTTTAAATGAAACATAAAAGTTGTATTCGTATTCGTAGTTTATAAAAATAGTTTCAAATTGACAGACTTTTTAATGCATCTACTAATATTAATAAAATGCATTTTGAAGTTTATCGTCTTAATATGAACAAAATGAGGCGTTTGATACGAAAGTGATATCACGATAATAGTCTCGTATCGTTTTTTTTCTCAAAAAGTATTCAGATTTGATTGTTTAAGATTCACAAATTTAGGGTACTGGGCCAGTGCTACTGGTTGATATGGCTTAACCACTTCAATGGCATTGCTCAATATTTTATCAAAACATCAATCAATTAAACCTACGTCTAGTAGAACCTCTAAGTAATTATATTATTGCCTATTTTAACTGCATACACCATTTGGATCGGAGTCCAAGGAACAGTATTGATCATGATTACTTTGAAAGCTGTCACAAAATTGTTCAATTATTGTTTGTTTCGGTGTATCTCCATTAGCTTCAACCAATTCTTTGACCTCGGCTATAAAGTTGTCATAAAAATCGATTCTTCTTTCATTTGGAGATTTAGCCATAAACAATCCATCATTGGTGATATTCAAAAAATGTATGTCTTCCAATTGTATTGGTCCAAAATCTTCAATTGGAATTCCATTTATTGCTGGTTCTCTGTAAATTTGGGAGCATTCAAAGTTTGATTTTCAAACGTGATTGGTAAATTCCGCGTGTTAGACTCACCCATATTTTACAAAATTCGATATTAGTGTGGTCAATACATCAATGAGTCTATAGTTAAGAGCACTCTCTTCGTCCATGTATTTGTTTTTTAACATTTTTTTATAATTAGACAAATGATCGCGGCACCTAAGGGTTTAAATAGGGAAGAATTTAGTAAATTTTCATTTCAATACATCGAATTTCCTAAGATGTGTTCCAATTTTACCTGAATATGTAGCAAATTTCGTCTGCATGAGCGCTTCCTGGCAATGAAATGGGCTTGCGTGCATTTAACGTTGAATCTGCAGAATATCTGGTAACCAAACGAGCAATTTTAATAAAATTGTATTATCTGTGAAACAATTTACTTACTGATGGTAGAATATTTTCTTGTCTGAGACAGACGCTTGTTTTCGCAACCATTTTTCAATGAAATATGTAAACGAAAAATCTGAATCAATTAATAGACGTTGATCTGCTCGTTCATAATTGGTTTTCGCATTTGCAAAGAAAAAATCATGAAATTTCTGCAATACGTCCTTGAGATATGGCTGCGATAGAAATTGGAATTTAGAATGGAACTGAAAATGTTTGAAAGGAGCTCGTTTTTTACCTTTCTCGCAATCGACAAATCATATCCAAAAATTGGTAATTTTATTCGAAAATCTTTAAGATACGCATCCATAACTTCAGCATCGGCATAATCTGGTGGTACAACTCCCAACATTTCCTTTTTTTAAAAAATCAAAAAATGTTATTGTATACTTGTTGTACTAATTGAAGTTCCATCGACTTACTCTATTTGTGAATGTAAAATATGAAGTGATATTAAAACTGTCGATATTTTCAAGCTTTGTGGCGGGATCTTCTTGCAAAAATGGTCGAATCGCATTATCACTTTCAATTATTGGCCACCACAATCTATTAAAAGTGGGTACCACTTCAAATTCCAATTTGTCATGGGGATGAGTCTCAATTTCGTTGGCAAATTCCAATATTTCATGCTCTGGCACATTTTTCAATAATTCAATTAAGTCATCCAGGCTATCTCCAATCCATTTGCTGTACTTTTTGGCAAATAAATTCATCACACAACGATGATTTCCCGCCAAATATTGGTGTGAAATTTGTGCTACTCCGCTCATTGCCATTGCTTGTTGGTAGTATTTTTTGGATTCATCATTGAGCATATGAAAGGTAACTGATGCACCACCTGAGCTATGTCCAACGAGCGTGATTTTATCTTTATCTCCACCGAAATGATCGATATTTTCATAGACCCATTTCATAGCCAACAATTGGTCTTTCAATCCCATATTCCCCGAATATTCCGGTGTACCCAATGACATAAAACCAAATGCACCGACTCGATGATTGAAAGTTACTAAGATCATGTCACGTTCGACCAAAAAATCGGGACCCAAAAGAAAGTCACTCCCACTGAAACCATTGAAAGCCCCACCAAATATGTACAACATCACCGGCAACTTGTTTGAAGAATTTATTGCTACAAATAATTGGAATAATAATGTAAGATTCCAATTGAATTGAAAGATGAATTTACCTGGAACAAACACATTGACAAACAGGCAATTTTCACTGATATCTAGATGAACTCCTGGATAAAACAATTGACTGCATGACTTTCCATATTCAAATGCATCAAAAGTGTTTGGGGTCCACGGTTCGGCCGGTTCTGGTGCTTTGAATCGAAGCTCTCCAAGTGGCGGCTTTGCAAATGGAATGCCTCGGTATGAATAATATGGCTTTTGGTGCAATAATGTCTTTTTCACAAGTCCACGCACTGCACCATTTTCGGTTTCAACAGTCTTATAAAACAAATCATTTAGTTGTTCACAATTCACCGTAAAAAATACAACGAAAGAACACAAAATTAAATTAATGTAAAAAAATCTTGAAGACATTTTAACGCCGAAAAATTTCAAATTGAATGTGAGCTACGCAATTGTTTCCATAGGTATGATATTAAATATATCTTTGTTTTCTTTATTTGTCAATCGCTCTGATGACTCGTCATAATAATTGAATGAAAAAAGAAACAGTGATAAGATATATCTATTTGAATAAATATCACACGTCAAAAAAATTTCTCACTTTTTTATCGTTCAACATGTGGAACGTTGAAATATTCAAAACTTTGTGGTTTTGATATTATGTTTCATAATAATTTCATGCATGAAACCAGTAAGATCTGCAAACACTTGATAAAACTAAGCATTTATCGTATTATCTCAAAGCGAATGCTTCACGTGAATTACTCTCAACTTTATCATATTTCAGAGCCACCGTTAAAACAACAATGTAATAAATTTTAAGAATATACTTTGAACTTCAAATGAAAACGAGTTTTTTATCAATTCTTTTTTTTAACACCACTGCACAGATATATCATTAAGATATTCCATGTTTAAACATACATGTCATACCCAGACGTCTATGAGCTTAATTTTATTGTGTCTTGTCTTTTTTTAGAAATAATCAAATTGAGCCAATTCATGGAAAAAATGCGTCATGTGTCTTGATTCAAATAACTTCATTTATAGATTAATAGGTCAACATTATCTAAACAAAGAAGGTGGAAAGAATACTTATAATAGCACGATTTTTTCTAATTTCGGAAAAAACTTGAATAATATTGTTAACTCGAATTATGTACGTCATACATGAGTGATTGTCCCCCGTTCTATCCAATAATCCAACCTACAATGAAAGTTGTGTTCAAATTCTCACACAAATAGTAATTAAAAACCTCGTTTTCAAGGAAAATAATTTCAAAAAGAAAAATATATTGGGCCCAGGAATTCGAATAATAACTGATATCATGATTGAATTGCGTTGAACAAACAAACAAACCGAAAGCGATTTTGAAGCCTTTATCAAATCAACAGTTTATACAACGTAAATTTTTTATGATGACGAAAAAAAATCAAAGATACATTCATATACATAAAGAATTTTTACTTTTCGATACAGTTTTTTCTCTCTCTGGATTGTATAAATGAATATTGTATTTTCAGGGCGAAGAAACAACAGTCCTCTTTTATTGGAATTTTTATCATCTCTTGTGAAAAAAATGACTGACTGACTATAAATTAAGTCAATTTTTATCACTTTTATTCGGTTAAAATTACCAATAGATGATTGAAATCGAATAAAGTCGGTTATGTTTCAGAGTTAAAAGTGATTATAGTCAAAAAAATCAATTTCATATACTTAAAGTTAACCGTAGTTAACTATGATCACAATCGACATTTCTCAACTCAAGTTACATGAAGACGCATATAGTCACTTATAGTTCACTTTAGCTGGCTGAAATATCAGCCATTCTTGTCCCAAATTAGTCAATTTATAGTCGGCTATGAAGTCGAAATATTTTCACAGGGTAGTATATCAATTCGACTAAGAAAAATTCAAAGAAGGAAGATAAAGTGCCCTTGGAATAAAAGATGTCACTTACATTTTCACAAAAGTTGATGTGTTTCTTATCATTAGAAAAATGTGTTTGTTATTATCATTTAATTTGAATTCGTGATAGTAAAAATACTCATATTTTAATACATTTTTTAAAAGTATTTATCTATATCGATGAACGGCACATTGTTGACATGTAGAACAAATTTCAAATTGTATAGTTGGTAGAATTAAGCTATCATATTGAACTGAATACTTCTCTTCTTTTTTTTCTAATATAAGCTACCTTTGACTCACTTTGTAACGTCAATTCCTAGATCAATTCCCAAGGGGCAAACTACTTCACTTTCGTAATTCTTATAATTCAATCTAGTACTCCGATAATTCCAAAAAATTCTATATAATT